AAAGAGAATGGATCTATTGTCGTAAGTTTAGCCGCTGGAGCTGCATGTCGGTTTGTGAGACTGCCTTCGCCTTTCTTATGCTTCTGCGTGAAATGTTTGGGTTTTATCCATAGGCTTGTGGACATAGATGGAAAAATATCTTTTACATTAAAAACGAACACAAGCTCCCATATGGTATTTGTTTTGCCATCTCCTCTGATTTTCGAACTGAACTGAGCAGAAGAATATGCCCGTGCTATAAAGGTAAGCAGAATGCTTGAGTCCTTTGTAGGAAGCGGTAAGGGGCATAATTGCATGGTGTGGAGTTTGTGGAGAGCCCGCGTTGCTTTGAGCAGGCTTTCTGCAGGCACAGGTTTGAAGATTGAGTGCTGATGGTACAAGCCCAACTTATGATGTAGATTTGTTAGCAAGATGTTTATCATTTTAAAGAAAATCTTCTTTCAACAGGCAAAAAAAAAATGGTTTAAATAGGGCATCAGAATACTTGCTCCTTAGACTGGATCACTAAAGGATGTGTGCTCCTCAAAAACAGGCCAGTAGAGGACATCCTTCCTTCCTTTACTCTGTCATTTGCTTGCTCTGCTCAGGAGAGTGCCTCGCAGCAGAGCAGCGTAATACCCACGAGTGTTTGCTGCCGTCAGCTCCTCAGCCTTTGATGCAAAGCTGCTGTGGTTTTTCGGCACAGTGTGTGTCCCTGTTCCTTACTTGCCTCCTGCCAAGGCCACTGCTGTGATGGGAGACCTTCAGTGGTCTTTCCACAGAGGTCTTCAGGAGCAGAATGAGAGTCGAGACCTGAAGCTATCAGAGTCCATCCTTGCCTTTGCTTTCATAACTGGAGCATCAGAGCAACTCCTGTCATAAGTACTCCTGTCTGTCAGCTTACATCTGAATTACACAGAGTGGAAAAAAGAGTTAAGCTTATCTAGCTGTGCTGCTCAAACTGTTTGTACTGTTTCATAAATGGAAAAAAATAAACAGAAAAGTGTGATTTTTAAAGTCACAAGATTTCAAAGGCAGCTGTGATCATGTGGTACCTAGTGCTTTGAGTCTGTTCCAAAACTATATTGAAGCTAAAGGCTGTATAGTGGAAGCCAGCGCTTTTAGTTTTATTGCAGAACCGAAACTCAACGTTGTTTTGTTTGTATTTTTTATTTTGTTAACTCGTTTCAACTTCTATTGAAAACCTAGTAACAAATTCTGGAACTTCATAATTCTCCTCCTTCTTAATATTTCTTGCTGATTCCCAGACCATGTGCGGAAGTTTGGAGAAGACCATGGGTCATGCCAGGCTGGAATGTCTAGTTTTTACATTGAGGTGTGTATTACAGATACCAAACTTCACACTTTCTATATATACTTACTTCTGTGTATACAGACATAAAAGTGTATATCTAATTGCAAACATTAACACTGTGGGAGGAAACACTCAGATTTTTCTCATTTCTTTTAAATTGAATCTTGATAAGACTTGCATGACAATTCCCAACTAGTACTTTTACTTTTATTCCCAAGAACACCTCTACACCTTACTAAATCCAAAGTTACTTTTCGTCTGGAAAAAGAGCAAGAGTAAACAGAGTATGAAGCTTTTATTGTTCTCTTCAAAAGTAGTCTCTTTGATGTAACATTAACACTATTAATGCTTATTTTCTTGCTTTGCAGAGTCCTACTCTGTATTATTTTATCTCCATTTCACCCTAAGATTATGATTTCTAAAAATCTCCTTTGAGAAGAGAATATCCTGTTTGTTGCTCTCTTTTCAGTTGTTCACAGCTCAAAGTTTTTATAACTAATCTTTAGAAAGTATGAAAAATGTTGCTAGTGATCTAGTTGTACTCGCCGAGTACTGAGACAGGTGTATCACCAGTAGCTTTTCATTGAACTCACAGGAAATCTAAAGAAAAGCATTTGACTTTTTTTCTCATTTTCATCAATATTTAAAGATGAATAACATGGCTTGTTTTATTTTTCTTTTAGGACTTAATTATAATGGGAGCCCCCGGATCATTTTATTGGACTGGTTCTGTTTTTGTATACAATACAACTGCAAATACAATCCATGCTTATACAGATTCAAATAACCAAGTGAAATTTGGCAGTTATCTAGGTACTTAAAAATATTTAATAGTTTATTAATCTGAGAAGTGGCAGTTCTAAAGAAATGTTCGGCTTTTGTCAGATATTATTTAATTATAAGACTTCCTCTCTGTTCTTTTTATATGGAAACTTCTCAAACATTGGATTTCTGTTTCTATCATTTCTTTATTTAGAAGGGAGAGATATGCATCTGATTAGAAATGGTTTGCACTTCGCTGTTAAGTCTGAAACGCTGCCAAGGGCTTTCATAGCAAAACACATAATTATTTCACATCTAACAGAAATAAGAAGAGTCTGTTACATTGAAAGCTGCAAGGAAAGAAGTCTTAATTGCATTGTCAATAAGGGGAAGTATGCTATGACCTTTAAGAGACAGACTTGCCTCCAGTCGTGTTTTTTTATTTTTTTTTTATTCCAAGCATGACTTGGTCTGCATACATGGGAAGGCAAATCTTATCTACAGATGTCTGAAAGCCATGAAACTCCCACTCACATACCTGTACCCAAGTAATTGGTTGAATTTAGTGCTAGAATTTGTAGGGGTTTATGCCAAGAAGCATGAGCATCCTCAGTTTTCTCACTACACACTCATCAAAGCTCATCTGTCCCTCCTGAACTCCTGCGCAAAAATATTTTTGCCTTTGCCCATTATTTTTTATATTTTCCTACTTGTAGACCCAGTTTATGTGGATGAACATTTCCTATTTATGATTTCACTCTCCTGACAATAGGAAGCAGACATACGTTATGAAATAACTATTATGAAATACCAAGTGGCTGACACTTCAGAATTCAGTACTGAGCCTTGCAAAGGCTGCAGCTGGGCTCAGCAAAAGAGATGCTGGATGGTAAAAGGTGATCAGGTACCCAGATCACTAGGGTTAACCAGTAGTGTTTCTAACCTAATTTCAAGGACATATTATTAACTTCAGAGAATGCTTGCTCCAGTTTTCCAGTAGCAGAAAAAATATTGCACCTGTCTGGGGAAAAAAGTTCATTCGAGATTCCTGCTCCTACAAGTGAGAATTTCTGTAATAAATTAGTCAAATCACTGATAGCCAAGAGTCAGATACAGGCAAACAGGTAAAAACTTGCATAAGGGCTGTGCTGGGGAGGGTGCAGGGAAGGTCTTCCCATATACATGTTGTCTCACTAGTTGCCTTGCCCATCAGGACCTGAGATCAGCCGGAGTTTGCTTCAGAAATACTTCTCTGGTGACCTGGTGCAACTGTAACAGTCAGGACGATGGGTGGCTGACTCATTTGTGTGTCAGCTCATTATTTGTGTGTCAGCTCATTTGTGTGTCTCTACGGTAGTAGCGGTGATAAAACTTAGATCTTGCGTTGTCCCATGCATTGTTTCCTTGACTACTTCAGAATATATTGGGAGATTAATAAGCTTTTTAAGAGGAATTAGTTAAGTCAGTTTTTCAAATCAGCTGGGCCTGATGAAAGAGTAACCCTAGGCATCTAAACTGCCTACAAGACATCACAATGTAACAGTTTCTTTTAGGAATTTGGGAAGGACAAATGACATTTCAGAAAACTGAGGAACTGTAGTAATGGTGGAGGAGAGAATTCTGGTGCTGGAAATAAAATTTCATTTGCCTGTGCCTTTAAACTTAAAGGGCTATTTATGCGATTCCCCACCCTCTGACAAACATTTCAATACCACAGTAAAAATGAAGACTATGGTTTTTGGGGTGTGTTTAAGTTTCTGAAGTTGTTTTGGTTTGTGGTTTTGTTTTCTTTTTTTATATTTCATTAGAATTACCGATGTTTACACTTCAGCAAAACCAAAATAACTAGAAAATAAAGGTCAGAAGAGGTAAATTAAGGTTGGTCTACTTAAGCTTAATTTTTTGTTGAAGAAGTAAAAAGTAGGTGTTGGCCTTTAAATAATAAATTGTCTTGTCCACCTCTTTTAGCTTAAAATATGAAAAGGTAATGCTGGCTTAATGACAACTTGAATTCTAGACAGCTATCTTCACAGACCAAAGATTTAAGGCTTGTTCTCATCTGATCTGAGATGATGTTTCCCATTTTCTCTGCATGCTGTGAAAATCAACAGTCCTTCAGTAAATGCAAGAGTAGCAGAATATGTTAACTGTCTTCCCCATTTCAGTTTAGCCATAAGGTATTCCAGAAAGAGTAAGGATGACTCGTAGCTGCAGATTAAGGCGTTAGCCTTCAGTTTGCAATTCTGTGGCTGGACGTCTGCACCAAAATATGGTCATGTTTAAGAGCTGTCTCCACATACAGCAAGACTTAGATTATGTAGATTCATTTACAAACACTTATGCAATGTTTTCTTATTACATACTCGAGCTCTTGCTCCAGTTCGTACCTGAAATTTTCATGTATGTATATCCACAGTGTTCTGTGTGTGCATGCATATATCGCACTACATTTTGTTTTTCTGCAGTCCACTTATAACAATAGGCACAGAGTAACAACTGAATCAAGTGTTTCCACGTCGCACTATATATGGATTTTTGATCATTTTTATTACAATATAGACTCACTGAACAATTGCAGAATACGCATGAACAGAAGGTATTTGCAATTGTGGCTTTTAAAGCGTGGCAGATAATTGAGATCCTGGGAAGAAATTAGTGTCTCTGAAACTTGTTTCTGATTCCTGGAACTTACTGTTTACATTGACTTTTTGCTTTATATTTCAGAAACTTTCCTGTTTTCTTTGCTAACTTGCATGATGTCTGAATGTCAGAATAATGTCAGAATGTCTGAAAAATTTCTGCTGTTGACAGCCTTTATAAGTCGTGCTCCAATTTTTTCTTCTTCATATAGCATATCCAGTATTGAATTGTGCATTTCTAATTTACAGGGTACTCTGTTGGAGCTGGACATTTTCTGACAGCAGCCAGTACAGAAGTAATTGGAGGAGCTCCCCAACAGGAGCAGACTGGTAAAGTAAGAGATAGTCTATAGCACCAGTTTGAAGAATACACCCCTGCATACCCATCCACAGTTTTCCAATTTAGATTAACATGTTGAAGACAGATATTGGATAGATATGATTTCTCACAGGGAGAAAAGTCAAGGAAGGAATGAGGGAACATGGTCTAGATAACATTGCTGTGAACTGTGCTGTCAAAGAAGGGTACGGGTGGAAGATAGTAAATAGCTGTACCCTGTGATACTGTGTGTTGCTTTGCTGATTCTCCATCCCAGGGAAGCATTTCAGATTACTATTTGCTGAACTCTGCTTACATTTTCTTTTTGTTTCAGGCATACATTTTTAGCATGGAAAAGCAACTAAATATTCTGTTTGAACTAAGGGGTAAAAAGGTAAATCTTTCATGTTGCTTTTCTGCACCTTAGTACTTCTAGTACTAAAATTCAAAAATAATGTGATTTCTTATTTGCACACAGCTTGGTTCTTACTTTGGAGCCGCAGTTTGTGCGGTGGACCTGAATTCAGATGGACTCTCAGACTTGCTAGTTGGTGCTCCAATGCACAGTACCACTAGAGAAGAAGGAAGAGTTTATGTCTATATCAATTCAGGTTCTGTAAGTATTTTCTGTTAAGAAAAACATGGTAAACACAGTCAGTCTGATATAACAAGCGAAGAAGAAGGTATTTCCTCTCTCTTATCATATTTTGTTTCAGGATATAGGAAAAACAAGTCTAGAACCATGAAGACAATCTCAGCAGGACTGTGTAGCACACCTGCAAAGGCTAGATATATAAACTGTAACATGCCACTTACACTACTGTTAGAACTGAGGGCAGACTGAATTTGTTTCATAGTAACTTCAGGTGGTGACAGCCTGGTTCTTACAGCCTCTTTGCAAGCTCTCCTCCATTACCACTCTTATCACTGAGCTGGCATGTGAAGAGCCACTTATTTAGCACTTTAGAAGCAAACAAGGAATGAATAAACTGCGTGGGGTTAGTGGTACCAGTCAGGAAAGAAACTGATAGTCCTCACTTTGGCAAATAAAGTAGTTGGACAGATCATGCCCTAGAACTAGCTTCCCTTTATTCTTTTTAAGAATCAGAAGTGGACGTATAATCACTGCTTTTGAGTACTTGTGATTTGTCTGGCTCTGTGTACTTTACCTTTGTATCTTATTTCCCTTCCTTCTTCTCCTCACCAATAAATTTTTATACTCTTACACTTGAAATTAACATTTTCTTAAGATATTTTCCTCATGGAGAACTAAGTCATTCCACGATACCTACGACTAACTAGGGCACACACAATAGCTTTGAAGCAGCTATTGTTTGCTACTTTTTTAGCAAACAATCTTCTAAGAGCAGTAAGCCCCGGTATTCTGATATAAGCTTGCTGCTGTTAACAGGTGTTTGCTATGGGAACACATTGTTGTTCTTTCTTAAAGAACAGCTTTCTTTTCTTTATTATTCTTACACTATATACTGTTTAATATCTTGGATAATGCTCACTTCTGCACCAAGGGATGCAGTAGGGTTATATATTGGGGACCAAGGCAGTTTTAACATCTTGAGTAATATTCCAGGTCATCTGGAAGGAGTATGCTCTGTTATTGACTCTGTTTTCCTTCAGGAGGCAAAGATGGTAGAACTGAACATAGAGCTCAGCGGGAGTGACTCATATGCAGCCAGGTTTGGAGAGTCCATAGCCAATCTAGGAGACATAGATAATGATGGTTTTGAAGGTAACTATATGAAGAAAACCCCTTGGGTTTAATTCTCTCTGAGCAGTGGACTGTCACAATAAACAGGAGGATGCTGGAAGTCTGGGAAGACTTTCGGTTGGTGACTTTGCCTTTCGATTCTAGGCAACTGATTGGAAATACAGCTGTTTCACAGTTATTGGTGTGTAATACCATATGTCACTTTATTGAAGAGCATTAGCTTAAGGTTATAATATAGTCTATAAATCTGGGTGATGGACCTCAGGTGGAATCCCTAATCCTGTTTTAGACATCTGAGAGAACAGTTGGGGAACAATTTGGTGATCTTGTAACATCATAAATAAAAATTACACATAGAGTCAAGATCTGCTTCTCTGTCACTAGTAGGAAGTACTAAACACATGAGGATATCAGAAAGAAGTTGGGAGACTGTTGTGGGACTACTTCCCAGTCAGACCCTCAGGTGACTCATGAATTGCCTCACATGGGCTCCCAGTTGGTGGAGCACACAGGGAAGGGCTTTGATGTCCATGCCCCAGTAGTGAATCCAAAATGTTAATGGGGCTCTGACAGAGCTTTTTCTTCCTGTTGTCCATACAGGACTATCTACTTCAAGCACTTTTTTAATTCAGTCAAATAAATTTGGTCTGGCTTTGCATGCATCATGATTTGGATTTATTTAACTCTTCCTATTTCATATTTCCTAGGAAACTCATTACTGCTAAATTGTTTTTTCCGCAGACGTAGCAATTGGGGCTCCACAAGAAGATAATCTAAAAGGTGTTATATATATATACAATGGCAGAGAAGATGGAATAACTCCGTCATTTTCACAGGTATGCTTTTTCAGGGAACAATAACCAATCCAGAAAAACCTTAAGTTTAAAGTTGAGGACGATTTTCCCTTCATTTAACACTCAGACCATCCAAGGTACTTTAAAAGACTTTAGAATTATTTTTACCTAGTCTGTGATTTCAAGTTATAACTTGTAACAGAAAATTAGATTGTTTTGGAGGCCTCAGACAGGGTTTATGGGATACAACCTTTGCAGTGACTGAGGAATATTACTTTCAGAGGTATACTTTCACAGTTAAGTCTGTAACTGCTTTCAGCATCAGGATGGTTGTGCTAACGTTTTTCACTGGAAGCTGTAAATCAAAGATAAGGTTTCCAAGAATAATTTTATCTGTTTTTTTCCTTCTCAGAGAATACAGGGACATCAAGTCAGTAATTCTTTAAGCATGTTTGGACAATCCATAGCAAGTGGCATTGATGCAGATAACAATGGTTATCAAGGTAAATGAAATAATTTTGTTTATTTTGCGTTTTTAAAAGAGTAGATGTTCATAGCGGACGTCCTTACCGTGCTACTTGTTACTTTTAACAGAAGCAAAATCTGTTACTAAGATAACATGTCATATCTTGCATGTGGGAAAGAAGAAGAAAATAGGTAAAGCTGAGGCCAAGCAGACAGGTTTCATGGTCGTCTAACTCATTTAAGGGCTGAGAATCATGTAAAATCAGATCATAGTGCATAAAAGGAAGGAAGACGTAATTGTTATTTTATGGCAGCCATCTCATCTGCTAATGTCACAATAAGCTAGTTTTGGCACTGGGAGTGCCAGACTGGTGTGCTTACCTAAAAATCTTACTGGTCTTCACGTAGTCTCGATTTTGCCAGGAGTCACTGAGCTCTTTGACTCTCCGTCTGTATGAACGGGACATTAACCTGATTCAGAGCTCACGGCATTGGGTTAAGGTTGTTGTGGAGTTCATGCAGGCACGACAGAGAAGCAATTTGGTGTAAAGCACCTTAACTGGTTCTAAGTATATACCCATTGTTTTATACATACTGTCAAAATATTCTCACGTTTTGCAAGTAACTTATGTCAGGTACTGCCTGTCCTGCCCCTGTGGGTATAAAAGCATAAAATTTTTAGGAACTGCATGTTTTGTGCTCTGGCTGTGTCAACAGAAAAGTTCTCCAGGTTAATTTGTAATGCTGGGCTAAGCAGAAGTGCACAAGGTCACCTGTTTACTGATTTGGGAGTCACATCTTCAGACCCTTATATCATTTAGACTCATCTGACAGGGTACTTTTGCTGCCTCATTGCGTATTTCTTTCCTTAATGCGTGAATAGTTTTTATTTAGTTCAGAGTAAATTATTTTTTTTCTATCTCTGTATATACATATATATAAAACTGAATTTGTTATGTATATGAATATGTAGATTAAAAAGGAAGGCAAGTACCTCCAATTTAGCTGAATTACCCTTCAGTATCAGCCATTTAATTGTGGAATAGAAATCAAATCATCACGTTACCAATATCTGCAAGCCCAGCAAATTAGTGCGCAGCTCTAATGGACAGGGAAAAAGGATTAGAGGACTCATCTTCTAGACAGAGAAGACCACCTTGAAAATTAGGATGTGCCTCCTGATAAATAAAGGGCAAATGGTATTTTAATGCTGACCAAAAGGTGAATATGCTACAAAATGCTTGTACCTGAGAATTCCTGATGACAAATTATGCTTACTGATTTTTTTTGGACAGATGTAGCAGTTGGTGCATTTCTCTCTGATTCTGCTGTGGTGCTGAGGTGAGATTGCTACATTTCAGTGCTTTTAAAGGCCATACAATTTAACTGTATTTGGTTTCTTGGAACTTCAGTCATTAGGCTTTAGAATGCTCTACAACTGAAACATTTAAGTAAACACCTTCAAGAAAAAGAAAATTCCATTCTGAAACTTCTTGAGGCAGTGAATAGTTGCATACAACTGTTTGGATTCTGAAGAATGTAGATAGCTTAAAAAATTATAAGAATAACATATAAAAATAGATTGTCAGAGATCATTAAATTCTGCAGAGGTTCTGCAAGCTGTTTCTGAAGTGTTTTGTGAACAGTAACTCTTTTCTCTTCTTAGAACAAAACCCGTGATAATTGTTGAAGCTTCTTTGAAGCATCCTAATTCAATAAATCGAACTAATTTAAACTGCATGGAAAATGACCAGCCTGCCACCTGTATGAATTTGAAGCTATGTTTTACCTATACAGGACGAGAGGTACCTGGTTATATTGGTAAGTTACTTGGAAAAAAATCCAGTATGTGTATTCATTTTAAATGCACCTATTTACAGAATAATGCTATTGGGATTCATTGGACCATTAAGCTGAGTTCAGTACAAAATGGAAAATGAAAATCATGGATATTTTTTAGCTCATAATTACCCTATAACATCAAGCCATTACACTTGTATTCAGTTTAGAATACCAGCATATCCCTGCTAGGACTACCAGAGTTACGTGATGTTAAAAAGGTGGGATATTTTGAGGATGAAGGTAGAATTCCAAGTTGTCTGTTGCGTCAGTGAGGTCACCTGAAGTTTTGATGGTAACTGATTTAGGCAATCAAAGGCTAATTTTTAGCTAGCTAGGTGGGTTGTGACGCTAAAGAGTTCGGCTAGGACTATGCACAACCATTTAATAATATTTTTCATGTGCGTTTTGCAGCAGTACCATCATAGATACCTATTTCTAGTACCTGAATTTATTTATCTGACAATGGTGTGATTAAATTGACACTCATGTTTTGAACTATAATGTAATGATGGCAGGTCAGATGGTCCCTTTCATAGCATCATAATAACTTGAGCCATCATTTTTATAAGAGTTTTAAATGAAATAGTGTGCCATTAGGTTCCACAAAAAAACCAGAGTGCACCTACTTTGTGAATGGTTTCTTTTATGTAGTTGCCAAGGCACCACATTCTGTTTTGCACAGGGCCCAGCGGGAATGTCTTGACAAATTTGTCTGAACTCACAAATGTCTGGGCTATTGCTTTGCAGTTAGGAAATTAATGGTGGGTCAATGTCTTTTCTTAATGTAGAAGCAAATGGATTATTCAGGTTGATATTCAGATGTCCTCTAAAAGCAGTCCTCCCGGACAGGGACCAAACCATACAGGACTGCTGCACAATACAGTCTTCCACTCAGCAACAGAGAAAAGACATTTTCTTCATAAAGCAGTTCAAGCACCTGATCATACTGTTATAGAACATTATGTGAAAGAGAGGGAGTTCCACCAAAATTACTGAAAAATATATCTTGTATTATATTTTATAGAATGCATGTTTTGCTTGTGGCAAAAGTTGATAGTGGTTGAAGCAGTATCTTGGAGGGACTATTCATGGTGAACTTGGTTAAAATAATTTACTGTCTAAATTTGACTGTATTGCCTGGGTACTTTTAACCTACTTATCACATGCTATTTGTAAACTGCAAATAGCCCTGCAAATACATGATATTTAAAATTAAATTCCTTAAATTTTCTGTAGGAGAATATACAATATTCTTTAGGAACACATTACGGAGAATTCATCCAACGATGAACTATAAAGTTTGAAGTTCAGATCTTTTGAAATTCCTATTTGTTGTGAAAGATGAGCAGTCAGACTGGATTACCCTTGCCAGATTAAAACATAAGGCTTTTCAACATAAATGGAAAAGATGAGAGGAAATTCTAGATATCCTACTCAGCTTTTGGCAGAGACTAAGTAATAGCTCAGTAATGCTCTGAAACGTATTTGCAGTTTCTTATATAGCAATTCATACTAATTTATATAGAAGAAAAATGTTAAACAGTATTTTTCAGTGTCTGTTGACTTACCCGTTTGTTGAAATTGAATGTCAGTAACTAAGTAACTGAAGCAGGTTTTCTTTACATAGAGAAAACTATAGAAAACTATAAATATAACTTGACAAAACTAGCCCTGATGTAAAAGCATGTGTGGGGGTTCAGTCACAATGCAGTCAATTTTCAGAGGGCTAGGAGCTTTAGTTAGGTATGGATTTATGTCAGAGAATTTTTAAGTGGAGCACTTCAAAATGGGTATTACAGAACATACTTATGGAAGTGAGTCAGAAGATGTAATTTCTATCATAAATTCATGAAAATTATAACACTTCAGGATTTTGTAACAGTAAAATCTGTTTTTGCAGTACTGCTTTATAATCTGACTGTTGATGTGAACAGAAAAGTAGATACACAAGCAAGATTTTATTTCTTCTCCAATGGAACATCTGATACAATCTCAGGAAATGTAAAGATTTACAGCAAAAATACTACCTGCAAAGATCATCCAGCATTCATGAGGGTAATGTAATTTTCAATATGTATTGCCCTGAAAATCCTTTGTTCTCCTTTGAAAAGTACACCTGCTGAAAAAGAACCTATTTTGTTTACAATTTCATCACATCATTTTGCAAGTAAAATATTTGTGGTCATAACTTCCACAGTTAACATATTTTAGTTCTGATGCTTTGTCATCTTTCTTTGGGGAAGTCAGTGGGTCTGCCATCCCTTACGTTGGTGAGAACCAGCAGTGACGTAGGACAAGAGCATTCTTGACATTTTATCACACATTTTTCACGGATGACATCGTAGATTAAGGCTGGTTCGGAGCAACTACGAAGATACAATAAACCACATATTTTTCTCTTGAACATTTCCGATGAAACTTTCCTATATACTCATTAATGCAAAATCTTTAAACCTTTAATTACACAGAGAAAATGTTTATTGTGTTTTGCCATTTGTAACTATTTCAAAGAACACATGTATGGTCTTGCTCTCCTTTTTCCTGTGAGTAGAAGAGACAGACTCACCCAATAAAAAAAGAGCGCATTTGTGATTCATGGAATGTGAAATGAAGACGATTGCTAGAAGAGAGTCTGTAGTTTTGGTTTTATAGGGTGGTCTGCTTTGTGAATGAATTTAGAGCTGAACACTGTGAAGAATACACACTGTGCCAAAAAAGTGATCTCTCTACCCCTCTGCTCACAGAACTGAAGGCTGTACAGATATGTCATTGTCATGGAACAGATTAGTAGTGAACGTGGTTACAGTTCTGTCTGTGAAGGTGTAGAGACAACTTTGTTGTAGAAGGAATCTGCTGCTACAAGAAGGTGTAGAGACAACTTTTTCATAGAGGGAACCTGCTGGTAGAAGTGCTTCAGAGGAGAAGCCACAGAGGTGGAATTGTTGCCCGGGCAAGTGGGCGTTCAGCAGGAGGTTTTTGGAGACCAGCAACGTGTCAGCTAGCCAGGGAGACCTATACCGACACCAGTAATAGATACAGGGTCAGGAGGAAGTTGACTGTTGGTTTCTCCAGAACCAGAGTTTGATCCAACAGCAACCATCCTTTCAAATGGAGGATGCTGCTGACTCAGAAATGTTAATAAGTATCTAGTCAGTGAGATCGTAACTGCAACAGCAGACTGTTGCCCTGGAGGAAATGAACTGTTGTATTCAGGCTTGATGTGTCCCTCTGAAGTATGAATGAAGGACCTGAACTGAAAGTAAAAGCAACTGCAGTCAGGACAAAGATATGTTTAAGGCCATTCACTGGACAAGAAAGAATAGAAGTGATTCAGTCTGTCAAACATCTTAGAAGCCTGCCCATTCGAACAAAAATTTTGGAGAGTAAATGGGAAGAACTTGAAGTCCTAAACCACAATCAGACGATAAAATCTAATGGACAAAGAGGAACCATGTTTTATTAAACTCAGAAGAAGTAGACTTACCTCCTGTAAGACCCTATCTAAGGAGGAGAAGAATTCTTTAAAGAAATACTAAGGACAAGGAATATTTAGTTGTAAAGGGAAACAAGGGTAATAAATTAATGGACTAGTTTGCCTAGCCTTTTCTTTAAATTCTCAAGGCAGCAATTCTGTGACCTTTTGAAACACACATCTATCAGGATGACTGTGCAGTTGATCCTGCACAGAGGCTGGGAAGTAGATTTAATTTTCTACAGCTACAAAAAAACCCACAGGGAAAAAGTTTTCCATGCATTTTTCATCTTTCTTCCTTTTTCCTTACTTTTTGTTTATGATGCCATTAGGAGCCAATTCTTCACGATAAAGCTTTGTGATAGAAAGGAAAGCTTATGTTATCTACTGGAAAATTGCCCAGATGCATCTCAACTGGTAGTTGCACCTAAGTGAATGTTGCTTACAGGAGAAATGGTAAATTGCCACTCAGTTAGAAAAGTTTTGTAAGCTCAGAGAGATCTGAATGACAGCTGACCTTGTGCAGATTGCTTTACCAGCATCAGCAGGTATTTGTGTAGGAGGAAGGATATGATTTGGCTCATCACTTCCTATAGTCTGTCATTAGTGTTTTTTTCTCTATATAATTCAATTTTGTTTTTAATTCTTAATTAATAGCATAGCAAGCATCTCCTTCCACCCACTGAGGTTTCTGTACTTGTATAAAGCTCCTGAAGTTAAGTGTGAATGTCTGTCAAGTACAGTCCTTGCAAGAGACAATGTACGATTTATGTATTTTGAGTAAAGACTAATTAATAGCTAATTAGTATAATGTAAGTAATATAAAGCAGATGCAGAGAAGACCTTGTGGAAAATTATTATGAATTAGATAATATGTGATTTAGCCAAAGTGAGCTTGCAGATAAGAATTAAAGTAGTGGCCATGTGGAGGGACCATCAGTGTCTGTCTATCTCCTACACGTAGGGAATAAATCAGGTTTGCTATTGTTAGTGCTTCAAGCTGTTTGGTTTTCACAAGTAGGTAGTTTGGGCTCTGATCTGCAACATTCCTGCACAGTCTAGGCTTCATGTACAAAGTGGCCATTTATCGAGGAGTTTAATCCCTTTAATGCAGAATAGGAATAAAGAGGCAGAAAAATAAAATGCAGTCATGACCTAATTCAGTGGTACTCTGGGAGAACTTCTTTTCGTTTCATACACAAACATCCATAGGTTTTGTCTAGCATTGTCCCTCTGGGTAACTTTCCATTTCAGCAAAATTTTGCCTATTTTTCTATTTGGGCAGTACAGCATTTCATAGGTGTGTAAGGCAGTATTACTGACAGAATTAGGTTCTCTGTTCAGTCAGCCTTCTTTTAATAAACAGATCTTAATTCTGAAATGGCTGATGCTGTCATTGAATGTAGTGTGCTTTTCTGTGTTTCTGATTACCTCTTTCAGCGACAAAGATGTCTGGAAAACTATATAAGCCATATGGCATATGAAATTTTTTTACATGTAAAAAATAAGTGTTCCTGTTTAAGTTAGTTCTAGGGAAGCTTATAATCTTTAAAACATAAGCATACATGTCTTGTCTTATATGATTAACTCATTAGGTTTCCAATTTTCATAGAAAGATGTAAGGGATATCTTGACTCCTGTACATGTTGAAGCAAGTTATCATCTGGGAAACCATATTCTACAGAAAAGAAATGCTCAAGAATTTTCACCACTTCAACCTGTTCTTCAACAGAGGAAAGAAAAAGATATTATAAAAAGCAAGGTTAGTGTATGAGTTCCCTTTTTTCAAATGAAGTAAATAAATATTTGCATTTTAATTTTCAGTTAAAATAAGCTTCACACAGCCATAGCATGTGAAGGAATGCCTAATTTTTTGCTAAAAAAAAATCTTTGCAGATCTGATATACAATTTGTATTACGATTTAAAAAAAGACGTATATGCAGAGAACCTGCAAGAAAATATAATATTATATACCTCAGAACACATGGGTATGAAATTTACGCTTTGAAATATTAATTCTTTTTGAACTACTCAGAATGAATCATTTTCCAGTATAAAATCATTCTGTAAACTTTATTCTGTGTTAAATACACATATATTGTGTTGGTATTAATCCTGAAGTGTTTTAACAATGCTGATGAATTATTAGTTTTGTAAAGGTATTGCTGGTACTCAAACACAAAGTCTGTGAGGAAAAACGAGTGTATTATGTATCCTTAAATGAGTATGGAATCAACGTTCTTCTCCCAAAAAAACTTACTGAGAGCTAATAGACTTCCACTGTCACTTAAGCCAAAGTCAGGATGCTCTGAATTTTAACTACCAAATGGTCATAATTTTATTATGACCACTCACAAACAGTAAGCATCACATAATTCTGATGCAGTTGACTATCAGAACTCTGAGACAGGGAAAATCTCTGTTTCAGTGGCATGCTTTTTCTTTTCATCTTCATTCAAAAGTTTGTTTTAGAAACCACAGAGTTGGAGAGCAAGATGGTGTCGTTGAATATAGTGACATAAACGTGCTCTGTAACATACTGATAACCAAGGCATGGCCACACGCAGCTCACGGCGTCTCGAGTCTCATCAGACCTTACTAACTGTGTGATGAGTAAAGTTGGTGTAATGAAACTCTCTTGCAGAAGTTAATATGCTATGTCATAGGAAAGACTGCAGAGACCTCAGGTCTGAATCCTCTAAAACCCTGCCCTTTTTATGTACTACTACTGAAAAATCAGCTGAGCATACATGCAGTGGTTTAACTGAGTGACTGAGGTTGGAAAGCTTCTCTGTTATTCTGGGTGCACAGAATGTGTTTGGAACGTGGCAAATCACAGCCTGACTGAATTGTTTTTAGGAGAAAGAGCTATTGGCTAATTTCAGATACTTGGAAACACTTTTACTTACTCTATTATTGCATAATACACTACAGTGCTTTTTTTTCAATTTGTCTTTTCTAGTTTGTTTTTGCAAGGTTTTGCTCCAAAGAAAATTGTTCTGCTGACTTGAGAGTTTCTGGAAAAGTTGCTTTTCCAAAGTAAGTATAATGCAGCTTCTTTTTTCTTTTTTTTTTTTTTTTTTAAGGGGATCCGTGAGATTTTAGATTAATTATTCCTTAATCTTATGTATCTAAAGAAACTTAATTTGCAAAAGTAAACTATTAACATCCTGAGAAAGTATGAGTAGTAAAGCTGTGTTGAGTTGAAGAATATTTTTAAATCATAAATATTCCAAGAAATGTAAAAGACGTGTGTATAATTGAAGAACTGTTCATGTATAATTAGAAGATTTGACAGCTCATAAAATAGATCTTCTTCACAAGAAGGTAACCTTGTGTTCTACACTTGATATGTAACTGGGCTAAGATGCAGAGCACAATGTGTACTCAACATGTGGCTGCCCAGGGAGGTTGTGGGGTCTCCTTCTCTGCAGACATTCAAAACCCATCTGGAGGCATCCCTGTGTGATCTGCTGTAGGTGATCCTGCTCTGGCAGGGGGGCTGGACTAGATGATCTTTCAAGGTCCCTTCCAACCCCTGACATTCTGTGATTCTGTGGGTATCATAACAGTTATCAGTTATTTCAAGCACCTGATCATACTGCTGCTCTTAGGAAGATACTGTACTTGAACTGCACAAAGAAGATACTTCCATTTTGTACTAAGACATTGTTGTATTTATTATTTCCGTTATTAAATAATCAAATAGCTCTTTCCTCATTTACTTAAGGATATTACATCTTCAGTTTTATACTGCTGTTTGAGACACCAGATGGTTGAGTGTTATGTGAGGTTTATATTTCTTTTCCCTAGATGAATTAGCTTGCATTTTACCAAGTCAGTTTTGTTTTGTGTTTTTTGTGTTTTTTTTTCATTTACAACCCTAATTATTTTTTATATACACTTTAGTATGTTTCCGTTTTTGTCATTCCTTTTGATCGGGTATTGTGTTTAAATTCTGTTATTATGCAAGATAATTTCTGCACTTTCAAAGCATTTAAATACAACTATTAGTGTCTTGCAGAATCTGTATTAAACCAAGAAATACTTTGTGAGTTATACTTCTACGTAGCATCATCCTTGGAAATTTTTAAGCCATGCACCATCATTTCTATTCAGAGTGGATTTTAATGATTTGATTTTAAGTTCTATTTTATCATCACAACCTTTTTCTTTATTGAATATTATACTTAAAAGCAAGACATTTTTGGTGTTGGTGTGCAGAAAGGAAAACTGTTGTGAATCTCTGCTTAGGCATTTTGTGTGTGACCTGGATTTTCTTGTGTAATTTACTGCTTTTAAAGATGAGCTTAGTCAGTTGAGCGTGGCGCTAACAACGCTAAGGTCGCAGGTTTGATTCCCGTTCGGTCCCCATGTGTTGCCTGATCTAGTCGAGAGGTGGCGTCCTTGGTGGCAGGGAGGCTGGATTAAAATGATCTCTAAGGTCCCTTCCAGCTTAGGCCATTCTATGATTCTGTGATTCTATGATTCTGTGATTCTACTTTAACTGAGATACTGGGTTGAACAACCTAATATGACACTGAAAGGTGATGGCAGTCACATGATGCTGGTGAATCACACCTGTGTGATCCTGAGCACAAGGTTTTTCATCCTGATAAACTACAGACTAAGATTAGCTCTAAGAAAGGAAAATAAACGACAACATACCTGCTTGGCATTAGGTAGCGTTAGCAGATTTTCAGTGTAAATATGCTAAATATCTGAATAAAGTATGAAGTATCACCTTAAATTACATTGTGTCCCTAGAATCTCTATTAAAAACTGGTTAGCTGTGAAGCGTTTATTTATTTTGTCTAGACAGAATGCATTCATTATCCCTGAACAGCAAAGCAAACATTTTTAGTCTTAAAAGAACGAAATCAAATAGGCATGTCAATGTAATGCTTTACTTGCGAGTTATGAGTCTTCATGTATACACTATCATGTTTTGTTTAAATTGCTTAGATTTTGGCCTGCTCTCTAAATTTCTAGTCTGCATCATGCATTTTTTAATGAAGAATGAAATATGATTACCAGGGAAAGCTTTAGTTCAGCTCTGTTGTAGTCCCAGATGTGCACCTGGTGCTTTTGTGTACTTGCGTGTTAAGCTGGGAGGCGTCTCCGTGACAGCAGCTTGTTACTGAGCTTGATTTTTATGCATATAAGAGGATAGAACAGTAAGCGCACAACTAGTAAAACAAATTTTAAACCTAAACTTAATCAAGCTACTGAAATGTTGACATTGTGGTTTTCTTTAATTCGCTTTTGTCTTGGAACCTATCTGCTTATGTAGTGCTTTTACCTTCTGTTGCTTTTCTAAGTGCCAGCTCCTTTCCCAGAGGTGTTCAGTGACTAATGCTTTGGTTTCAAGCCAGAAAATCTGATAAATGTCTATTTTCAGGCAGCCTTTCTACAAGTCTTAATTAAACTTTAATGTCAAGCTGAAGTTTACTTTTAGCCCCCCATAGGGTGTCTGTGCTTGTAACATGATTAGAGGACATTACAGAGATCACAAGGTAGGCATGTTCACTTGCCCCCTTTGTGACCTGTTTCCTATTAACTCAATCCTGTCTTTTGAGTACGAAGATTGAATTCTGAAAAAATGTCTGAAAATACTACAGCAGTAGCACATTGCTGTTCCCATCTGAAAGGAAAGGACCTATCTTGTAAAAGCCAGAAGCCCAACTAGTCTGATGAGAATTTTCTTGCTCTCCCATTAATACCTTCAGGCCTTAAAAAGTGTGATCCTGGAGGTGACCATCACATACCTGGTGTAGTGCCTTTGGTTACAGGACTGAGGAACAACTTTCCTAATGATCTTCAGCAGAGCTTTGTCAGAAACAAATGGAATGAACTAAAAGAGCAGTGGAGGAAAATGTTTGCATGCAAGTTGTATATAGAATTACTTTTCACTTATATTATGATAATTATTTTTATAGGCCTTATGATAAGAAAACGTACCTTGCTGTTGGAAGTATGAAGACTTTATTGTTGAACATTTCTCTGCTTAATGCTGGAGATGATGCATATGAAACTGTCCTCCACATTCAAGTGCCTAAAGGTCTTTATTTCATCCGAATTTTAGAATTGGTAAGAAAGAAAAAAAAAAAGTATCAAACAGTAGTCCTTTGATGTTTTTGTTTTTCTGCCATACTTATTTCAAGTTATGTTAATGGGCTGTTGAGTTTCTTTAGCAACTAACAACCTGCACACACACACAAAACTCCAGAGTTTAAGTTCTCAGACTTTTAGCTACCTAAACCAGGTGCAAGTCAATCAGTATAGATGACTTAAATAATCTCTATATCAGAATGTGATGGATGGTAACAACTAAAATAAAATAAAAATATTTCTAAATGTATTTCAGGATGTTACTGCTACTTTTTGGCTGATGATCACGTTTTCAGCTATCACAAAGATCTCACTGAATTTGTCACAGACTCTTATGAACCCCCCAGACACCTCTCAGAGGTTGGCTTTAACCTCGAGCGGGCCTTAGTCTGATGCCCATGCCTCAGCTTCCCTGCTAGCAAACAGAAGATGAAGTAATAAGATGTAGTAATCAATATAAGAATATGTTAAAGCAGTCATGAATAATATGAATCTTCCGTGTATTTGCATCAGTGAAATAACAAACACCTAGTTCAGGGAAATATAAGCCATTCAGTTTCAGTGTGTGCATGTAATCTGAAATGTCTGGAAGCAGCAGTTTTATTTTAAATCATTAATAATTTGTTCTTTATTTTAGGAAGAAAACCAGATACATTGTGAAATATTAGATAAAGACATTCATGCAACAAAACTTGAGTGCAGTGTTGGTTATTTATATGTAGATCAAAAATCAAAGGTAAGCCATGTATAAAATTCCCGGCTCTAAAAACACCTTTAATATGTTATGAGGATTTTCCAGGGGAAAAAACCTCTTGTTTTTCAGAATCTCTCCTTTATTCCCAACTAACATCTTTTATCATGTTGCTCTTAGAATCCCTCTGCTACTTTTAAAATTAGCTGCTTAAACACTCTCTGGAATAATTCATTACAGGACAGTATTGTCTGTATTGTGCATTAACTGATTGTGCTTTGCTTTCTAGCTGAGGCTCACTTGTCTAGAGGCTAAGGCTACAAATAAATGTGCTAGGTCACTAAAAAGGAAGTAGAAGACACAAAAAGCAAAGATTTTCTTAGTTCTGATTTTTTTTTAGAGCAGGAATTTCTAAATGAGTTTAATAAACTCTTTTTATTTAAACTGTGTTAAGACACACTATCATTTGATTTAAAGAAAATTTTATTTGTTCTGCAGCTGGATTTTAGTTTCCTCTTGGATGCAAGCTCATTTACCAGAGCAGAAGATGACCTCAACATCACCATTAATGCTACCTGGTAAAGTCTAAAAAAAATTGCTCAATAAAAAGTATTACTAGCTTTGGAAAACAAAATAAGAAACACTGGAAAGACTTAGCAAAGCACAGCTGCAAGAAAGCACCTTGGTTACAAGGTGCTGAGAAAGCAAAATTACAAAAAAACCTCAGATATTTAAGTAATAAGCCTGTATAAAATGTTCCTTTTTTACTTGACATGTTACCACTAAAATATCTTTGTTTTAATAAGCCAAGAGATTTGTTTAATGTTTGTTTATAGAAATAATGCATAGCATATGATGATGCTTTTGATACTCAGTTTTCTCTCATTGCCTTTTTATAGTAAAAATGAAGATGGGAACATGTTGCTGGATAACGTGCTAACTTTAGCTGTACCTCTAAGATATGAGATCGAGTTAAATACTCATGGGTAAGTCAGCTATTGCTATGCCTGCACATCCATAGAACTGTTATTACTATTCTAAATTCCCAGAGATTTTAAACGAAAGCCTGATGTAGCTGAAAAATCCTGGGAATGAGGACTGTCCTGGGGTCTGACCCATATGCTTCTCAGATTTTATTTCCAGTACTGTGAGATGAGATCGATGATATCTGTGGTGCTTTGAACATGTCTCTTAACAGAGTAGTAAAGAACTGGAATATTTTTTAATAGAAAGAGGTATTTAATAAGAGCACAGCAGATCCTCAGACACCTTACTAAACACAGACCATGTTCTGAGGCATTCACAGAGCATAGTTTTGGGTGGGAATTTATGGCTTTTTCTGATTCATCTGCCTAAGAGGAAAGAGTACAAAGGTAGAGGACTTCTACTCAGTGTTCCTAGATTTACTTAAATGTTTCTTAGAACCAATCTTACTGGAGATGGCACAGAAAGTTATGCTGATGATATATAGCAATTCTATTAATTAACAACTTCTAAACCATTGTAGGTTTGTGTCACCAGCTTCATTTGTTTATGGAACAAATGAGAAGGATTCACCAGTTACGTGCATGAAGGAGAGTATCAACTTTACTTTCCACGTAAGAGTTTTTCTTTGTAAACCCTATGATTCTTGTTTTGAAGGCTAACGCTTAAAGATTTCCAGTGTATCTAATGACAATCTGCACAGTCAATAAGGGAACTTAGTAAGAGTGCAAGGGCATGGTGAGCAATTTTTGTATGTTAGCATACAAAGAGAGTGTTAAACCCTCTTTGAACACTTCTTTTGGACTGGACAATCTTCCACTGAACGGTCAAGAGAAAAACTGCTCAGTAGAGGCAGGCTTGTAGGCAGCAGAGAGGTTCTCATTTACCATTTCTTCCATTAAGAAACACTTCAAAAGGAGTTATCTTACAGTAAGCAAAAGGAACTAGGAGCTCCTTATAAGAGGATCTGTAGGTATCAGATTTGTCTCCAGTGGATTAAAAGCAGGAGTTAGACATTAATCTCCCCTCGTTCCTTTTGCATATTCTCCCAGAAGGCAGCCTGCCTGACCGCAGATTAGCACTGCTTACTCATTGGGTTCAGTAAGCCCACAGAATGAAGTAAGCAAAATGTTAAAACTCCTAGAAGAATCCACTTTGATGATGACGTAAAAATGCAGGTGCAGTCCCATTCTGTGCAGTTTTGTGTATTTATACTTTATATATATATATATATAT